CCATCATCCCAATTGTCATCTCAATTGCGGAAATCGCATATATTGGCCTAGGGTGGAAAATATACAATGAGTTCGGTTGGAAGGTGTATAAATTCCTAGGAGCCGACCGAAGGATCAAGAAGATGTATGCCGACTATCAAATCTACGAGTGCCTGGTTAAATTCGACGTCTTCTTCTGGGCTGGGTTCTCGGTGCAATTCATTTGGCTAGTGCTTCAAGACACCGATTGGGAATACTATGTGACATGCGCTGCGCTTCCTTATCTATCGTGCTTCTCGTGGAAGGTCACTTAGCTGCACGGCACGAGAACAAGTGGATGATGGCGAGCTTCATGTCGGGTTGTGTTGGAGCTATGATATATTTCATATACAAGGTACCTCTTGTTTTGGCTAATGTCGCTGGTTATATACTCAAAAGCATTCATCCATAGCTTATCAAGGTTCTTCTCTACAAGAATAGCGATCAGTTCAAGTTAGTGTGGAAATCGTTGACCGTTTTCTGTAAGCCTTGATTGAATCAAAATTGAATGTACGATATTGATTCTGTTCTAGCCGTGATCGCCATAGTACTGCTGTTTGCTACTTTCGCCTATTCGGTGGTCGTACTAAGGAACTTTGGTCGTGGCCTAAAGGATGCATGTAAGTGCCAATTGAATAATTTCCTTTATCAATTATTTTGAACTTTTTTGTATAGTAACTCGAAAGGCCCAAGGCTTTGGCGTACCAGTGCATCGACGCGCTGCCAGCACGAACTTGAATCGCATGAGCATTGATTAGATCAATTGCACGACCTCATGGATACATCCATTGTACTGATAGTCTTTCCCTGATATTTATGATGACCCACCAAGGACAGTCCTCTCATATACCAAGCATCTTATCTCTCCTTGCTTGTACACATCCGTATTCATGCATCACATCATCCACCTTCCACTTGCAAGCCATCTCTTTATATCTTATTCCTCTCAAATATTTTTAGGTAGTACTGTCCATCATATCTTTATGGTACTCTGTAGATCCAGCTGTACCGATCATCATTCTTTTTATCCTGAAGGCTCAGCTTTCTTAATCCACTTTTGGATATATAGATTGTATTATTTACTTTTCAGTTATTCGACGACGCACGACGCTCAGACCTGCTATTGTGCGACTGCCACTGCACAGGGCATGGCGAGCGAGTGAGGCCCAGGCCAGTCAGTGGGCAATGCATTGAGTGTGATTTGTTTTGGAAAGTCACTTGATCAGGGAATTAAGCAGTTCACTCACAGCCGACTCACAGCACTTTGGCTCTACGTGTCATCACGAAACAACACCATCGTCCCAACGGACATGCAAAATTAGACGACCAGACGGTCTCTCCCTTCCTCAATGTCCCAACGGTAAGCTAGCCCTCAACTCCGACATCCCAAATCGCTCTTCACTCAATCCCACCCGCACCCATACAGAATACGAGCCGCGCCCTCACTGCGCGACCGTTCAGCCCTCATGGGCGGCACGCCGCCTGCGTCTGGGCGGTCGTCGCCTTTCGGCGGCAGCATATACAATCCTTCGGGGGGCTATCAGGCCAACGGCCACCGCTACGCGGACGACCTAGAGGGCCAAAATGACGAGGCAATTGACGGCCTCAGCGCTAAAGTCAAATTGCTGAAGGATGTGAGTAGTGAGTTCGGTCAAGGATAAAGGTATGATATCCCAAATCTAACCCCTGTGCTTTTCTACGTTAGATAACCATTGGCATTGGGAACGAAGTTCGCGAGTCGACGATACAGCTCAGCCAAATGGTGCGTCATGTTATGTCCTGGACCAAGTTCACCGGAGTGTTGACACTTCAACCCGTCAGAACGACGCGTTCGCAGAAACTGGTGGAATTCTATCAGGGACCTTCCGACGTATGAACAACATGGCGGAGCGGCAGGGCTGTCGGTGGCTATGGTACATCGTCTTTCTCATCATTGTTTTCTGGTTCTTCCTGTGGTATGGTGGTTTCGGAGGTGACCCTTCCGTTGCTGTGTGTTTTTTATGTGTTCGTTATGCATCATTATTTCTGTTATTTCTATCTCCATTGCATATTATTCACTTGCCCCATGCTCAAACAACGGATTTCTTTCCTACCCGCGCACAGCATAAGAAGAGCCAGACAAAACCAGAGATGACTATGGATCATGGGCAAACGAAAAATTACAGCAAATATACAAATAAGTGGAAAGGCGGATGCGAAAAAATACAAGATAATAAGTCATAAGTGATCGTCGAATATCAGTGGTCGTCTCGCAGCTTGGCATGGGCAATCTCCCATATCATCCGCCGCCGGAGATATGGCATATCCTTTTGTGAGAAGTTGAAAAACTCCTCGCCCCTCGATAGTGATTCCATGTACTGGCAAGTGAAAACCCCACAGTCGAAGCCATTCTCTTGTTGGGGTGTACTCTGCGTAGAAAGGTCCATGATTAATCAATTGCACTCAGGATAATCGCCAAAGCTACTCACATCCGGGGCCCAATCTTGCCAACCGGTAAAGTCAAAGTCCTTCTTTTTCTTATTTTGGTGCTCCGCCTTTATATATTCGCGCAGTTTCTGTGAGGATGAATCAATACCACATATGAGGAGAGAGCAAGTGAAAAGCACAAACCCGGAAGACATGTCCCTTTGCCATACCCATGCTATCATAGACTCGAACCTCTTTGCACGGAAGTTTATCGCCGCCGCCGTCCAATGTGCATTACCATGGTTAACGGGCATAAAATAATGTCTTTCGAAAAGACATCAATCTGAAGCAGATTAATTCAACTCCCTGCCTATGTAAATGAGGGAATAAATGCGCACCTTCTTAGTCCACTTCGCAAGGCGGCCCTTGTCATACCCTTCCTTCGCCAACTTGGCCCAGAAGAACGAGCTGAAATAATGGATATTCAGCGGTGCATTCCTCCCCTTCTTCCCCTTTACAACAACAGGATTCTCTTTGCAATTCTCCGAGCGCCCGAGCAGCATCGCGCCGTAGAAGTTGATAATCTCGTCGTTCAACCATTGGCCAGGCAGGAGGCGCGTCAAGTCCGACTGCGAGACTTGTTCTCTTGCAAATTTCGAAGTAAAGCCGCGTGTTCGTATAACTTCGTCTACCTTCTTTTCATCCTCGGGTGGGAGTTTACTTGGAAGTGGCCGCACGGGAGGACGAATTCGCTTCTCGATATCCTCATCCTTTGTGCGGCGCGAGATCTGCAGTTGTTCAAGTGTTGGGAAAAATGGTCGAGGAGGTTTGGGGCTGACAAAGTTTGAGCCAAGCGCAATAAGCAACTGAGAAACTGGAATATACCTGTTCAATGTCGCTTTAGCATTTTCGAGCGCACGTTGCAAAAACCGGGTTTCATCCTCCTATTCAAATGTGAGATACACTCGTAAATTATAACTATTTGAACGCACCACATCATCTACTCGCCGACGCCCTCGCTGTATTGGTTTCGTTCCTAACAAGGACGCACCTCCTATATATATGTTGAGCAATCAACGAATATAGATAAATCAAAGGAGTACTAACGTAAAGGAGGTGGAACTTTTTCTAGATTGATGTTCTCCAATTGACGTCGGTAGTCCAAAAACCCTTCAACAGAATTAGAATACAATATGGCAAAGTTGAAAGACCCTCTTACCCTTGAATTCTGAATACCCTGATGTAAACCCTATAAAAGCCATTGAATAACGAAGTTGTAAAAAAGATGGTTATTACACACCTTCTCTCCTCTTCATGTCGAAAAGCTCGAGTTTCAGTTGCTCTCTTAATTCTAGTTTTTGCCGTTGAACGTGAGCTTTATGTACTTTCGCGAATATGTGCTCCCTATGCCGAGGATTACGCCGAAGTGGATCCCGCTTCGACGACTGAGATGATCTTCGCGATGTTTGGCTCTCGATATCCGATGAAGTAGCCACCGACGAATTTAAAGAATGTCCGAGGTTCAGTTTCCGCATATTAGGCATAACGTTGCTCTGCAATGTCCTGTCCGTTGAGGACGGGCGAGACGAATCGGCTGGTATTCGGGTAGGGGTAGGTGAGATCGTCGGAGTGGATGACGCAAATGATGATAAATTGTTCTTTGGCGTGGACTGGTCAGGGAGGTTGAGGTGAAAGGTCACAGGCGCGGAAGGTTGGGAATAGGCATTTTGGTCACCGAACTTGAAAAGGGTCGGTGACTCGGGTAGAGGTATATTTTCAGGGATTTGCGGAGACTTGGCCTTGGTAGATGTGGCACTGGAGGTATCCCGCGTCGGAGGACTTTGAGAGTCAAGCCGAGATTCGGGAGAGGAAATGGGAAGCGTCTGAGATGTCGATAGTTGAGAGCTTAATATTGATAATGAAGACTGTCGAGGGGTTGACTTGGAAGATGGAGGCGAGTTAAGGACCGGCGAAGACGTTTCTTCGATAGACGAGTCGGATTCATCGTCCTGTATTCGGGACTTCATATATATCGCTAAACCACAGGTCAGGCTGAGAACTCACAGGTTAGTCAAGTGAAATCAAACTTACATGGCGCCATAACAGTGTCACCGACAAGTTCCATAAGCTGCTTTGCGACTGTCAACCACCTAGAAGGGATCCCCTCGGTCTGTGACGGACTGGATGCGCCCAACGCTAGGCGCGGGTGCTTTGCGTTTCGCGTTGCGGGCAGAGGGTGGTGAGCGTGGCGTTTCCGTGAATGCATAGGTTAGAATGCGGAGGTCACAGCAAATGCAATAGGCAGGTTATGGTGCCTATGGGATACGTTGACCTTGGGTGCAAATCAGATCAAACACGGTTTCCGTCGACGCGTGTTGATGGATTAGAGTGGGGATCCAATGCGAGGCCGTTGGACTATGCGTTCCAAGGACGCAGGTCAACCAGATGCGGGACGGAGATGGTGGTGTATAGCAAGTGTCACTGTGACGAAAAGAGCACGACAAGTCACAAATCCCGCCTTGCCTTGACCAACCGGAAGTGACGCTATGTACATCTAACACGAACAATGTTCATCTGCTTCCTTGGCTCAGTTGGCTAGAGCGCAGGTCTCATACGCATTGTATGAGTAATCATCAGATTACGTAATCCTGAGGTCGCAAGTTCGAGCCTTGCAGGGAGCAATTATTTTTCTTTTTGCTCAACCACATCTCTTACTTTCATTTTTGCCTACCCATGTCAATTTTGTGCAATGTTCATTCAATTTCATTGGGATAAATGTGTTAAACAGAAGCCCCGGCAAAACTTCATAACAATAGCATGCGGATAGGTTTTTTTATGTTCCACTGGCAGGACCCAGTTCCCTATTCTTTCGACCGATGATCATGTCTAAAGCTTCTGTGACAATTATTCCGGATACCGAAGGCTTCTGTGCTCATCCGTACAGAGAAATCATACGAACAGGACCCTTAGTACAGGTCAATTTCCGCTCAAGAGCAAGTCATTTGACGTGTAAGATAAGTTTGATAACACAGTAATAGCCTAATAGTATCTTGGATTTCCTCAGGTTTCCCGAGGGCATGCGAAAGCCAGTTGGGCAAAGTGACCAATTTCCCTGTCCGAAAATGCCAAGAGCACAAGGTTGAAACAACTATTCGATAGTTGGCACTTGGGACTCGCACAAAGTCAGAGTTTATAACACGGACACTGCGAATTTGGAACTGCGCAGGGTACTAGAACCTCTGAGAAGGAGTGCGGGACGGAGATAAAGCGCTACAACGGAGTCGGAAGCATGGTGCTTGCGAAAAAGCACTCATCGCTGACAGTGTATGATCATAATTCACACCATTCCAGCGAGAAACGCGTCAGACAGCGTAGCATCCGCGCAGTCAGCGTGCGTGACGCTCCAGATTCCAGGACGGGCCAAGAGCGTGCACGGGATCCGGCAGGCATGCAGGAGACCAGGTGTTGGCGAGGACTGAACACGAGGGTGGCAGTCTGGACAAGGATGAAACGATAAGACAGGGCACAGGATGGAAAGCCACTGCAAATGGCGGAAAGAGTGATGTGACGGTGCGGACCAAACTCTTTATGGGAATATCTCGGTTGGCCACCAGCTATCCTCCTGACCCCGAATAGTTTATAGCTTTGTTATCTCCAATTGCCCTTCTCCCACACGCACTACATATAAGGCTTTCTCTGCACCCACTCCGACCCAGCCACCACCCGTCTTACTTCACTAGCACTCCGCACCTCGTCTCCACTCAGTCATCCAATCAACGAGCCACGATGGGCATGAGCTACCGTCGCTATCTCACCGGCGAACGCATCTACGGATGCTCGACCTGCAAGACCCATCTCGCCACCATCCACACCATGATGTCAGGGTAAGCCGCCGCACCGCACCCAATCCTGACATGACTCTGGCTGACTACCTCCATGCTCCGCACAGGCGTTCAACGGTCAGCACGGGCGGGCCTACCTCTTCGATGGCGTGTAAGTCCACACATGGTTGCACTTCGCCACGGGCCCCACACTTACCGTCACCCTCTTCAGTGTCAATGTCATCGAAGGCGAACCCGATGACCGCCCCATGACCACTGGCAATCACACCGTCCGGGACATCTATTGCTGCAAATGCGGCACGACACTTGGGTGGAAATACGTAAACATCCTTAATTCACGGTCTCTCCTTTGATTCCGAGCACTAACGGAGGTTGTTAATATAGGACAAGGCGTACGAACCTTCCCAGAAATACAAAGAAGGCAAATACATCCTCGAGCGCAACCTGCTCGTGGACGTGCAATAGGTTTGAGTCAACCAGGACAGCAGCTCCCAGCTGTCCCGCTCTTGCCCCTGCTCCTGTTGGCGATCGTTATACTCTACGACATTCTTCGCCGCAGGAGCCCGGGCACACATCCACGAGCACACATCGGCAGGCCATTTTCATCGTGGACTCATCGTCTTTTCGGACTTTTCAATAACCTCAATCACTGTATCACTAAGAAGGAGGCAGGGAGAGGCAGGCAGGCTATCTGCTTCATGCCATTCAAGAAGAGGAAGCACGATAATAATTTCGACGTCACGGTATATCCTTATTCCGCTCATTGCGACCATCCATTGGGCGTGATAGCGCAATCGTTCCGACGGCCAGTTCCACCATTTCTAACGGTTTTCGCTGATGTTTCTTGTATTTTTGATACACGCGGAGTCGGCATGAAATTCTTGATCATTCTCTAATCATGGCTTCATTCGTTCACAGCCCTTGATTTGATTTGTGCTTCCCTTCATACACCGTGTTGAATTCTTCTGTATTTATTACATCTTACATGGAGGAGAATGTTGCATTCAAGGAACATATAGATTTGTTATTCCGGGAACTTTATGTATTTTTTTCTATCGTATTCCGGATATTCCTTTCCATCTCCCTTCTCATCTACCAACCACCATGGCACGTACATGCAGCTTATAAAATATCTACTATACGCTGCAATGTCCTCCTTGCTCCCATCCCTGAATCCTAATCACCTCCGTTACTTGCGTAGGAAGTGTTTTTAAACGATTAATTGTGCAATGAAAGTATCGTCTATGTCTATTTTATGTGGCCTGAAAGCTTGAGCTTGAGCTATGACGCACTTTAGCTTCTTTTTGGGAAAGGTGTCCCAGGCTAATTTACCTAAATAAGACATTTCCTGTACTCTTGGACCCAATACCGGTGCTTAGATTACGGTGGAGTGATTCTATGCTAATAATGATATATCTTCTATTAGTAGCAAAGAAAGAGTATAACGTGGTGGACGTATCCAATATTCGCTAGAGTGGTCGTAGCTCAGTAGGTGGTCGTCCAAGCCTTGATGTATGCCAAAGTATTTATTTTTAGCATTACAGATATCTATGTTAGCTTGGACTGGGCAGTTCTCGCTTCGTGGACTGATCTAGGTTCGTGAATTATGATATCGCTCAGTACAATTCAAGCTCACCAGTAGTAGTCCTATGTTTATGTCCTTAATATACTTGATTTTATAAAAAAAGATGAATCCCGCCCCTGATTCATTGCATATCATGTACGTATCGGAATCAATCAATCTCCCAGTGCGATATCACCTATCTACGACCTCTAGATCCACGCCTACACCAGGCTCTGGCTGCACCAGCCTAAATCGACACCAGCAGTCCGCGACCCAGGAATGTGAAATAAAGCCGTAGAAAGCGGAAGAAAGTCCCCCATCAGCCATTAGAATGAGCTAGAGTTAAAATCAAGCAAATAGTATGACCGTTTTCAGTACTTGGGTCCATAAGCAAGAGCAACCCGTAGTCCTCAAGCGATTAGGGGTAAATCGAGTGGATTCATTGAGCAATCCATTAGGTCCTTATAGCATCGCAATGCTAAGAAAGTGATAGATATCGTCGGTCTGCATTACTAACCACGGAAGATTTTTGTAGGCGCACCTAGGGCAGAGTAAGTCGACAGACATCGACGCTGACAGAATAAAACCAAGGATGGCCAAAGTTATCCCCGAGAAGATATGCACTTCGCAATATTTGGCAAGGGAATTGCTATTCGCTTGGCTATAGAATAAGTAGTGACCTAATCCACTGTCTGATCAACTTTTGGACCAAGGTGAATATCGGCCTGGAAAGAATAAGCTTCCCAATCATGAAATAAGACGTCACATCCGGCCCATTCTTATGCGAGCGATAGCATGCAGTATGCCGAGAAGGTTGAGGGAGACAGAAACCAGTTCGATGGCATACTCCAAATTTGAAAGACAAGAGAACATCAGGAACATGCTTGGCAGAAGAGAAGTTCAATGCCCCATGCACAATGAGAAAAACAACACCGACAAAGACAATGGCGTCAGCAATGGTCCATAACGCATAAAACTGATTGAAATACCGAGAACGAGGCATATAAATGGATGTACTATTCCAGCACATTATCGAGAGCATTCTAGTTAACATACGGCGATCTTTGCCAGGACGAAAGCAACGTTCTTATATTGGGCTCGGGAATTCTCGACGCCTTGAGCTCCCAGCTGGTCGCGACTTCCCGGGCAACTGAGCATATGAAGACAAGGTCTCACAAGTACACGAACGCATGAAGATTGCGGTGTCTGTATGGAATTGACTTTGATAACGGTAAACATATCAGCGTGCCTCCGCTCGCATGTGGATCGAGAAGCAATATTCGCCAAGTAATTGAAAACAAAACGCAGAAAGCCAATATGGACGCGTTTGCAACGAAGTTTAGCCCTGTGGCGGTGATAAGTAAGCTCGATAATATTGATCCTCCAAGCTTCACGAATCCATGACGAGAAGCTCACAGTTTGGTGACTTGTGGCACAGTAGCAATCATTCTCTACTTTGGGGAGTCTCACGGCGTGTCCGAGTAGGTTGCAATGCGGGTACCGTTTCTAAGAAGAGCAGGAGAACAGCGTGAGATAGCCTGTGCCATAAACGGTGAACGATGTGTCTAGCGCCTGTGAATGACAGTGTGGTTCGGGCAAGATTAGGATTATCGTGGTTCCGACTATGTGATGAGGGAGTGTGATTACTGTACTATAGCACAAGGCTCGGGGGAAGTCGCAAAGGCTTCACGAGGGCGGGCTGAGAGCGAGGTTGTGGTGGAAGAAAGCGAGTAGCACGACGCGTGGGACCAATGGGAGATGGTTGATGCCGGCGACTGTGCCGAAGTTCCCCAAGCAAAACGCCTGTTTACATCTGCGTCCCCAAACGAAATGTTTTAGACTTTATAAATACCCCTCTTAAACCCTCCCTTAGTTTCATTCAAAACCCGCCCCGCCTTATAGCTCCCCTGTGTGCATCATGAGTACGATATTCCCCTTCTTGTCCCAAGCCCTTAATTAACGCACAGTGTCAATAGCCACCATGACCATGGCCATATCCCGCCCAACGGTCTCGTCACCACTCGCGGGCTCAACACAGGGTGTACCTCAGACGATACGCCCCGTCGCAAAACGCGGTCCCTCATTCCCGTCGTCGCGCGCTTTGCGCCCATTCCCCACTATTGCGCACGTCTTAAACCCTATGTCATCCAAGGCGTCGCCCGGCGCCAAACCTGTTAAACTCATCCAACCACCAAAGAACTTCAAGGCCGAATTCGTGCTCGATTTGACACAGGCTGAATTCAGTCGCCAGGACTAGGCGTCTCCTTCTGCCCAT